TGGGTGAGGCTGATGAAAGGAGATGGGGCTAGGACTCTTGTGATACAATGGTGAATAATTGTTATCAGGACTGACTATGAGGGTTGGAAATGTAAAGGTAGATGTTTTGTAGCAAAAGGGGGGGGAGTGATTGACTTTGCAGTCTAGGAGCGGAGGTCCCTGGGACCATCAAGGGCAAAGAGTGGAGAGCGGGACCCTACCCAGAGAAGCAGTGATGCCAGAGATGGAGGCAGAGACGATGACATGGAGAGAGAGAACGGTCAGGGACTTCAGACACAGAGAGGGAGAGGGGCTGTGTGCTGACCACCGGGGGGCAGGCTTGCAGGGTATACCCTTTGGTTGGTTGATAAAGCATTGAGGGGATTGTAACCATGGCAATGAAACGATATAGGATAGGATGAATATAAAGCTAATGTTCTCCCGTGTAAACTATCACACAATTCACAATAAAATGTAAAAAAAAAAAATGCAACAGGCTTGTGTGTGGTAAGGGCAGATGAGAAGGGAGCTGAGGGGCAAGGGGGCTGCTTTGGGATCATCAGGAAGGCTGGGTGTGGAAAGCTTGGAGGATTCAGGCTTTGTTAGCAGAAGGATGTTTCCCCATCATTCTCTTTCAGTAGAAAAGCTCAAGTCCCTGTGGCTTGGCTGTCTTCCTGCTGGGTGCTCAGGATAAAGGTTTTGACGTCCAGATGGGCTGGTTCACAGGAGTGGGGCAGGAAGGCACGGGGCTTCTGGTCTGTCACCGCAGCTCCTCTCAGACGGCTTTGGGTGCCTTCTCTGGAGTCATTGGGTAGTGCAACGGTTAATGCTCTCAGCTGCTAGTTGAAAAGTTGGAGGTTTAAGTTCATCCAAAGACACCTTGGAAGAAAGATCTAATAACCTACTTCCAAAGAAATCAGCCAGTGAAAAGTCTGTGGAGCACGGTTCTCCTTTGACATTTATAGACCGTCATGAGTTGGAACCCACTCAACAACAACAGGCTCTGCCTGATATGGGATCCCATGGCTTCTACGCCTCTACATCGACGAACATGGGATCTCCCATGGGGCAGCAGGGCAGAGGTAGATCCTAGGAGCCACTAGAACTTCCCTTAGTGCAGGGATCCTGGCTGTTTTTAGTGTGAGCAGCTGCCCCCTTCTTGCTGTGGGACCCATGGCGGCTTGTGGATGGGGTGGGAAGACAAAGGCATGGGGGGAGGACTGGGTATGCACTAACAGTGGGCAGGGTCTTCCTTGTCTTCTTCTCGTTCCTTCCCAGGAGGTAAGAGCGGGTCTGGGGTCTGGGTACATCCACTGAGACAGGGCTTCCTTTAGAGATGTTCACTGAGGCTGAAAGGAGCCAAACAGAATGGCTCTCCATTTTCATTTCTTGATTCCAGGCGGTTGCATCCTGTTTTATCTCAAGAAAAAAAAGTTCTTTGGCCAAAAACGGCTTGAAAACCACTGATCTCTAGATGATAAATTTACTTTTCCCATATAGGCAAATCTGTTCTTTTTGTATGAATATGCACATGAAAACTGTAACACTAAAGGGATGTGTGCTGAGGGACTGAACCTCTTGTACCTCACAGAGTGCTGAGGCCACGCTGTGTTCATCGCAGAGCTAACATCGGGGAAGTGTGTTTCCATTCAGTAGATTTGTTAAGCTACCTACTGGATGCCAGGGACCACAGTAAGCACTTTACGTAGACTTCCTGCTGTACCAGGTGGGCCTCTTGAGTTAGTCTATACCCATTTCACTAGCCAACTACTGTGCTAGAAATGATGCAGAGATGTGTCAGACAGGGTTTCAACCTCCAGAAGTCCAGAGTCAAGCTGGGGGAGCAGACGTGTCCACAGTCTTACTGGGGAGCCATGCTTCAGTAGCAGCATCCAGTTTTGGTTGGATGGAAAAGACCTCATGGGTGTTAGACTTGGAGGGTGGTGGGCAATGACCAAAGATTCCTGAGGAAAGGACAGAGGTGATCTCTGCACTGAAGAACTTGAAACCAGCAGTGGTATGGAAGATGGATTTGAGTGGGGGAGATAGGAAGAGGGATGTCAGTTAGAAGACTGGGCCAAGCATCTAGGTGAAGGTCAGGGAAGGAGGGTATTGACAAGAGAGCCACAGTGCTGGCAGAATTGGCAGGATCTGATTATCCAGCACGGGCGATGAGAGAAAGGAAGAGTCGAGCATGATACCCAGAGTCTGGACTAACTGTCTGGATGGATGATGGTGATGGTTTAATCCAAACAGGGAGAGAGGGAGGCAAGTCTGATTTGGAAGATTTAAAAATAAATTAATAGAAACCTTCAAAGGGTGAGAATTCAGTTCCATAGGAGACATCCAGGTGGCGTTATCCAAGTAGCAATTGAATATGAATATCTGGCACTTAGGAGTAAGATCTGGGCTGGAGAGACTCCGAAGCCACCAGCATTTGGATCACATGGAAGGAGTGGGAGAGGATGAGATCACACTGGGAGAGTGTGTTCGTGAGGGGAGAAGAAGGCCAGGGCAGGCTTCCCATTTGTAACTGGGTAGTCAGTCCTGTCTGCTTCAGACCTGACCTACATTCATATCAGCCCCGGCTCCGAGAGGAGAGTCAACAGGAGTGGGGAGCTTTTGCAGCCTAGGACCCAGTGTTTGTGGGCAGGCCGTGAAGACTCTCTAAGCTTCCCCAGACTAGTTAGTGATGAAGGCCTCAGTGATGGAGAGGGGGCCCCAGAGCAGGGGCCTGTGGTGCCAACGTTCCAGAAGCAGAGGCGAACACTCACTTGTCAGGGGCAGATGCCACATAATTGAAGAGCTGCCATGGAATGCCTTGTAGGATGACGTTCCGGAAGCTCGCGTGGCTCACCACATGCCCTCGGTTCCCATCAACCACCACCACTTGGATGCCATCTTCCAAGCTGGGGTACTTCTTCCCATCCACCTGCAGAGCCAGACAACACAAGGAGTGAAGTGGAACCCTGAGGTTCTCCTGCTGAGGAAAATCACGTAGACTCTGGAGACAGAGACAGACCATGGAGTTGTTTGAAGCCCAAAAACCTTATAAATCAGTCCCTTGTAGCCCTCTGTGGTGGGTTGAATGGTGACCACCCCTAAAGAAATGTCTACACAGAACCCATGAATGTGACCTTATTTGGAAATGGGGTCTTTGCGGATGTAATTAAGGGTCTAGAGATGAGCTCATTCTGAATTTAGAGTTGTCCTTAAATCCAATGACCTGCCCTTATGATAGGAAGGCAGAGGGAGATTGGAGACTCAGATACAAGGAAAGACATAATGACAGATGCATTCGAGTGATGCTTCTATAAACCCAAGAAAGCCAAGGATTTCCCTCAACCATCAGAAGCTAGGAGAGGCATGGGATATGCATCCTCCCAGCCATCAGAAGGAGCCAACCCTAGTGACATTCTGATTTGGACTTCTGGCCTTCAGAACCGAGAGAGAACAAAGACCTGTTGTTTTAAGCCGCCTTGTTTGTGCTAACTTGTTACTGTCACACTAACACACTCTCTCAGTGAGCAAACCAGGGTGCTGTAGGGGCCAGAGCCGCTTACTTCAATGTAAGCAAAGTCGTTCCTGAGGTGGAAGAAGAGTTGTTTGGAACTTTCCATCTTGACTTCCAAAAAGTGGTCCTGTGTCTTCTGGAAAACAAAGTAAGACCCAATGTGCTTGTTAGGTTTGGAAAGTCAATGGGTGGCCATCCCTCTCATGTCCACCCTTAGCCTCTGTTCACACACACACACACACACACACACACACACACACACACACACACGGTCATGTGTGGAGCTGAGCACATGTCTAGAGAGGAACCTGTTTGGCTTCTGGCCTGAACTTAAGACAAAGGGGGCCCAGGCTCATCTTGTAGCCACTCACCAGCCGAGAACCAAAGAGCTTCTTGGGCATGGGCACATCCACGAGCGCTCTCTCGGTGTATTTGGGGTAGGCTGCGGCTGTGCAGTCGCTGATGCCCGCGTGCTTCGGGATCAGAGCTTTAATCTTGATTCTCTCACAGCCTTTCATGGAGCAGAAGGCAAACTTCTCTCTCTCATTCTGTGCTTTCAGCTTCAGCATCAACAGCCTGCACACAGGGAGCAGAGCTGGATGGTTTTGCTTTGGCATCCAAACCTCATCCTCCTCCTCACCCCAAAGTCACTTAGCAAGGACTTACTAAGTGCTGGGCAATGCAGTTACATAACCGAGCTGTGTCCACGGGAGGGTTACATGTGGTTGCAGAAACAAACAAATATATGGACACAGAACTAAGAATCAAGACTATTACTTTCAGAGCATGTACATATGCCATGTTATACATGTGGCATTAGAAAGCTACATGATCTCATTCAACCCTCACATCTGTCTGTGCCAAGTTGGTGTTATGGTCTCTGCGCTTGTCACTCTCATTTCTCTGTGCCTTCTCTGCCCAGCTGCAAATCAGTGATAAAACTGTTCGTTTCAACCAGGTGGTTATAAGGGTTCGAGATAAGCTATCATGTCCTCTCAATTCTAAGAACCACAATTTTCACTTTTCCCACTACAATCCCTATAACAACGGAGCTGAGTATTTTACTCCCAAAGCTTAAGAGCTTTCAAAAAGTCATTGATAGATGGTAACAATCAGTCTCAGGATCAAGGAGCTTAAGAAAGTATACTGTATTTGATGTTGTTGTTATGTGCCGTGGAAGCGGTTCTGACTCATTGCGACCCTGTACAGGGTTTCCGAGGCTGTAAATCTTTACAGGAGCAGAAAGCCTCATCTTTCTCCCACAGAACAGTTTCCAACTGCTGATCTTGCGGTTCGTAGCCCGATTCGTAACCACTACGCTACCAGAGCTCTTGACACCAATTTCATGGCAGGTTCTTAGGGGTATTGGAAAGGCCAAGACAACATAATTGGGAAGAACAATCAAGGGCAGCTTCCTCACCCTGAGTCCTCATCCCAGTAATAGTGGCTCCTGCCCGGATAGCTCTGCTCCACTTTTTCCATCTGAAAGGTCCTTACAAAGGTGCCCGTCTTGGATGTTTGCTTCAGCAGGCGATTGTGGACGTCCGAGAGGATAGAAAAGGTGGTACCTCGTGGGTAGCAGAGCCCCACTCGGATCCAGTCACCCCTAGGACCAGAAGTAGGATCAATTGACAAGCAAGGATGTTCATTTCACCAGGCCTTCTGGGCATGCCTCCGAGAAAGACCAAAGACATCTCCCGGCAAAGGGCACCTCTGTTTTGAAAGGATAATTTTGAAAGAGCACTTGTGATTGGTAATGAATGAGCCACTAAGTGGTCAAGAAGAGTGAGAAATGGTGCCTGAAAGTGGTTGAGCAGGGTCACGGGAATGAGTCAGTGGTGTGGCTCTAGGGTTGATTCATAGGGACATTTGGTTGGGAAAAGAAACTCTCCTCGGGGAAGGCAGCTGTGTGGTATTTCAATGACCAAAGGGTCTGAGGCCCAGCATGGTGGTAGGGCTTGGTCCATGACTAGGATCCCATTTTGTTTATCCAATAAATGACCACATCAATGGAATACTACAATAAGTAAATATCGTGTATAGAAAATTCTTGAACATAAACATATAAAACCCTACACACAGTCTTTTATTCTAATCATTTCACCTTATTTCCTTCTCTGTAAAATGATAACTAACAATAATATACATATAGTTACTTTTTTTTTTTTTTTTTTAACTATTCATTGATCACTTTGTAAAACCAGACTCTGGGAGAAAAGCCATCTCCATCCCATAGAAGAAGAATTAAGGCTCCAAGAGGTTCGATGCCCTGTCTAAGGTTGCCCACCCTGCAGAATGTGGCCTTGAGTCCATTGATTCCAGAGCCTGAGCGCTTATGCCAACCCCTCTGGCTATCTCCACCTCCAGGAATGACATGGACTAGGCTGAGGTTTTGTGAGCAGCCTGCCTGGTAGTTATAGCAAGGCATCACACCATCACTGTTTTGAGCTTAGTCAGAGCAGCTGTCCCCAGTCCTGCTGCCCCTGGGGGGGGGGGGTCACCCACTCACTTGTTGAAATTGATCAGCCAGATGGCGAGCTCAGAGGGGGCTGTCTGGTCCCAGTGGATGGTGTAGCCCTTCTGTAAGGTAATGACTGGCTGGTACTGTTGGTAGTGGGTACTCCTGGTGAGGGCCCCCTCCAGGAAGAGAGGGTGGCTGGGGAAGTCATTCTTGATGATCTTCATCCTTAGGTTATTCGTCTTATAGGCCTGAATGTACATCTTTTAAAACCCAAAAAGGAAAAGCACATGAGGTTATTGCGAGGGTTTATTCCAAGAGCGTCTGGTTAATATCAAACTTTCAAAGGTACTTTCTCTTTACAGAACCCTTTTTAGAAAGCTTGAGTGAAAGAAAGGCCAAATAAGGGGACATCTCTTTCTGTGAACCCCAAGCTGGGCTGTGCAATCCACCTTCTGTGCCAATTGAGAAAAGGTGTTCTGTTGAAGAGTGGCTGGTGGAAACGTGGGAGGACTTTGGTTAGTAGTCAGCAAACGTGGAAATACGAGGAAGATACAGAAGGAAGAGGAAGGGAGAGAAGAGAACACATTTACAATTCTACTGCAGATGTAACCTCCCCTTAAGTATCTATTGTCCTGACTACATCCGAGAGCTGCCTGTTGGTGTTGTTAATGCCATCGAGCTGGTTCAGACTCATAGTGAAACTGTATAAGGTTTCTAAGGAGCGATTGGTGGGTTTGAACCATAGACATTCAAGGTCTGGTCCATGTGACCAGTTCACGTGCTATCAGATGAATGGGAAATCAGTTGCCATGGATTCTATTGAGACTAACAGCGCCCCCATGTGTATCAGAATCGAACTGTATTCCATAGAATTTCAATGTTGATTTTTCAGATCTTCAGACCTCCTTTGTTTTGAGGTGCCTAAGGGTAGATTCGAACCTCCAACATTTCAGTTGTCAGTTCAGCACATTCATCAGTTTACATAGCCCAGGGATTCCATTGGATGAATGAATGGGATCTTACTTAGGAGAAAAAATGCAAATCAGACTACCAGCCATTGAGTCCCAGGGTCCGAACAGTCTGAGGAGCCGCCTAGACTGAAACCACTGGGCCCTGTTTCAGGACCATGACAACCCACATGTCTCATATTCAGAAGGTGTCATCCTGCAGCTGTGCTCCAGAGACTATAACACCAATGTGTTCGAATTCTTTTTCCTATAAAATGAGGAGAGACGTTGTAACTCCACCCACTTAATGGAATTGCCCCGCCCACACTGAAGGTCAAAAGGCAGAAAGTATATTTAGACATTTTGTAAGCGGTAAGGTGAGCGGAAGGAGCTCTGGTAGTGTAGGAGTTACGAATCGGGCTGTAAACTTCACAGTCAAGCAGTTCGAAACTACCAGCTGTTCTGTGGGAAAACGATGAGGCTTTGTGCTCCCGTAAAGATTTACAGCCTGGGAAACCCTGTACAGGGTCGCAATGAGTCAGAATCGACTCCAGGGCACATAACAACAACAACAAGGTGAGGGGACGAGACTGCTGACAACCAGGAACCGTTTATGACGCGGTTACAAAATGCCTAAAGATACCACAACGCTTCTGCTAGTGGAGGCCTGCATGCTGCTAGGAGGCTGAGCAGGTTTCAACAAAACGTCCAGATTAGGAAAAAAGGCCTGGTTATCTTCTGAAAATCAGTCAGTGATCTGGTCTGCAATGGATGATGGGGTCCTCACTAGTTGGGGGCAGACTCAAGGGCAGCTAACAATAGCCAGTTACCATAACCAGGAACAATGACAGGTAGTCCTTTGCTGCAGAATAGAAGTGATGTTCTGGAGAGACAAAGCAGGGGGGACGATTGAGGCACCACGTGGTTTACCTACTCCTGGAGTCGGAGTGTCATGTAATGCAGACAGCATGGGTACAGAGCCTGAGGTCTTGGTCACCTTGCATTATTCAGGGCGTAATTCCTCACTGCGCTTGTGTATCTACTCCCTCTGATTCCACTTCCTGTCTTATCTTCCTTAGGCTCTCTCCCATGACCATCCAATTCCTCACCCCTGTCCACACTTGCAGCTGAAGCCTCACCCTAAGCCATTTCCCAGGTCCACCTCCTCTCCCGGGGCTGTTGATCAGGCTGGAGACCATCCCACAGCCCAGGAGGGAGATGCTGAACAGGTTTCCACACCGCAGGGCACTTTCTACTCCACAGCCCTTCTTTATCGCTCTCTGCAGGCCACACTCCCTGCATTCTCAGCTCCTGACCTCACCTGCCACTGCAGAAGGAGATCGAGGCCAGCTGGTAGGAACACCCTCCACTTCCTGCCTCTGCCCCCAGCTCCTGCCTCCTTCTGGTCCCAAGTCCTGCTAAATGTCTTCCCTCTCCCTCCTGGAGGAAGTGCAGCCAGAGTGCTCCTTGGAAGCCAGGATGGCCAGACTTCTTGTCTCATGCTTCAGATATATTGTCAGGAGGGACCAGAGCCTGGAGAAGGACATCATATTTGGTAGAGTGGAGGGTTGGAAAAGAAGATGAAGACCTCCAAAGAGATGGATTGGCACAGTGGCAGCAGCAATGGGCTCAGATATGGCACTAATTGTAAAGTTGTCACCGAACCGGGCAATATTCTGTTGTGTACAGGGCTGCTATGAGTCGGTACTGACTTGATGGCACCTAACAATAATACCTCCATCCTCAGGCCCACCCAGAGCATGTGCCCCTTCTCCCCTGTGCCCACCTTGCCCTCTTCTGCCCTCTCCTCTCCACCTGGCACTGGCTTACTCTCCCATCTCACCCTCAACCTCAAATCTGTGTGGCTATTTTCTAACTCATCCGCAGTGGGGACGGCAGTATCTGCCTTTTGAGGACAGCTTTTTCATGAATATGTCTCCTTGCCCCACTGAACTGCCTAGCTCAGTGAGCTTCCCTTCTAATGGAACAATTCTGGAGTTTCTCAGAACTTTCTCTCTTGCTGTTGTTGTTAGTTGCTATCAAGTCAGTTGCAACTCATAATGACCCTATGCACAACAGAACGAAACACTGTCTGGGCCATCTTCACAACCGCTGCTATGCCACTGTGCCAATCCATCTCACTGGGGGTCTTCCTCTTTTTCACTGACTCTCCACTTTACCTAGCATGATGTCCTTCTCCAGGGACTGGCCCCTCCTGATAACATGTCTCAACTATGAGAGATGAAGTCTCAGCATCCTGGGTTCTAAGAAACATTCTGGCTACACCTCTTCCAACACAAGATTTGTTTGTCGTTCTGGAAGTTTGTGGTACTTTTCATACGTTGTTGTTGGCTGATAAGTGTTGTGGAGTCAATTTCAACTCATCGCGACCTTGTATAGGGTTCCCAAGGAACGCCTGCTGAGTTTGAACCCGCCCCCCTCCCCTGACCTTATGTTTAGCAGTCCAGTGCTTACCCTACAGGAGAGTAACAGCAAATTCTTTATGGCACCATGGTTAAGCACTCATTTGGCTGCTAATGGAAAGGGTGGTAGTTCAAATCCACTCAGTAACTTTGAATTAGAAAGACTAGGAATCTGCTTTCGTAAAGATTACAACCACAAAAACCCTAGGGGGCAGTTTACTCTTCACAGTGGGTCGCGGTGAGTTAGAATTGACTTGACAGCAACTACCAACCAATTCTTTTCATGTTACTTTGTTCCGGGCACTGTCTCCACTTGCGCTGTTCAATAAAGAGGCCACTGAGCTCTTGAAATGTGGCCAGAATAACTGAAAAGTTGAATTCTTCATTTTCCTTTAATTAAATGTTAATTTAAAAACTAAAGCAGCGTAAACTATTTTTCCATTGCACACAAGTTTGTTGTTTTGGCAGGATTACAGTTCATATAGCGTGGTGGCGTACTGGTTACGAATTGGGCTGCGAACAGCAAGGTCAGCAGTTCAAAACTACCAGCTGTTCTGCAGGAGAAAGATGAGGCTTTCTGCTCCTGAAACCCTGTACAGGGTCACTATTTGTCGGAACTGACTCCACGGCACATAACAACCACAACAACAACGGTTCATTTTGTTGAAAATTCAGTGTCTGCATCAAAACAGTGTCTAAGTTTAACATGTACATCAGATTTCAAAGACTAAAACAGGAAAAAAGTAAATATAAAATACCCCCAATAATAATTTTTATGTTGAGATGAAATATTTTGAGAATATTGAATTAAATCAAATATATAATAATACGAGGCGACTTCTACTTTTCCACAAACTTTTTGAAGTCCTCTCAGTCATTTTCATTTTAATGCAATTTTAATAAAAATCAACATCACTTGTTTCTTTTTACTTCTTGATGTGGCTACTAAGGAGTCCTGGTGGCGCCGTGGGCTAAGCATTGGGTGCTAACTATAAGGTCACCGGTTCAAATCCACCAACCGCTCTGAGGGAGAAAGATGAAGCTGTCTCCTCTGGTACAGACTCACAGTCGTGAAACCTGTGGAGTTTCCCGTGAGTTGGAGTTGACTTGGAGCCAGTGGATTTGGTTTTGGTTTGGGTATAATATGGCTCCTAGAAATGTTTCATTCACAAATGTGACTTCCATTATATTTCTATTAAACAACTCTGGACTAAGCAGTTTACTTGCATTATCCAGTCCCACCCTCAGATTCTCATCAATGAGGTTCCATTATTATCCCAATTTGATTGATAGATGAGGAAACTGAGGCTTCAAGTGTTGAAGTAATTTGCCCAAGATCACATAGTTAGTGAGTGTTGGGGTCTGACTTGAATCCAAACATTTAACTTCAGAGCACTTTTGTTGTAAACATTAAGCTTATAAAGCATTCTGACTTGGACTTTGTGAAAATCCTGTTGAGTAAGGGGGGAGGGAGGAAGAAAAAAAGAAGAAGGCTGTTTATCTTTCAGGAGTTCTGGTGGTGCAGTGGGCTAAGTGCTGGGTTACTAACTGTAAGATCAGTGGTTCAAAACCCACCAGCCACCCCATGGGTGAACGATGAGGCTATTTGCACCCATCAGGATTTACAGCCTCAGAAATGCTGTGAAGCCGCTCTACTCTGTCGTACACTCTCACTGCGAGTCGGAAGTGACTCCACTGCACTGTTTGGTGTGGTTGGTTATCTCTTTCTGGCCCAACACAAAGTTGGGCATACAGTTAACACTGAATGCTTGTTGCATGAGTGACCAGTCTCCAGAGAGGCGTCCCCTGGAGTCTTACCTGTGCATAGCGCCCACTACAGATGGCTCCTCTCCAGTCAGGCACGTTGATGCAGTCTGGGTGCCGCACCAGCCAGTTGTCATCCTTGGTGAGGTAGGAGCCAGGGTATTCCGACACAGAGCCATCAACATCATGGAACACAGATGTCTTATCCCCATCCATGTCCAGCTGGTTGAACCAGGGCCCAGGCTCTCCAAAGAACACTCTGGAAGTAATCTAAACAGAGCCCAGAAAATTTAGGTTGGGCCAGAAGGTGAAGGGAAACTGCAGCCGTCAATAGGCCAGGGCAGAGTTTCCGATTTCCACTGACATTACAAAGCAGCCAAAGCAAAGATGCTCTTGGGCGCTGGAGAAAACCACAAGCTTGACCCTTCAGATGGAGCCAAAAAGTAGCCAGTAGTCACTGTGTTCCAATGACCAGACCCAGCACATGATTTTGTCCTCTGCACCCTGAGAACCTGCTGTTGGGGGGTGACTGAGTGACTGCTTGGATACCTAGACAGGCTCAACAGATGGCACAGATGGGAGGGCGAGGGCTTAGGAGTGACTGAGAGACTGCTCAGATACTTAGACAAGCTCAACAGACAGCACAGATGGGAGGGTGAGGGCTTAGGAGTGAGTGAGAGAGTGCGTGCGCGCGAGAGAAGCTTGTGTGTTGTGTGGCAAGTGTAGGTGTGGGAAGGTGTACATATGTATGTGTGAGAATGCATGTGTGTGTGTACGATGGTGTGTGTGTACACATATGTGTGAGAATGCATGTGTGTGCAATGGTGTGTGTACACATGTGTGAGAATGTGTGTGTGTGTATTATGGTATGTGTACATATATGTGTGTGAGAATGCATGTGTGTGTGTGATGGTGTGTGTGTACACATATATGAGAATATGTGTGTGTGTATGATGGTGTGTGTGAGAGAGACAGACAATAAGAGGGAGGGAGAAAGGAGAAAGGGGTATGTGTGGAGAATGTTCGTATGAGAAAGTATAACTATTTGTGTGGGTGTACGTGTGAGAAAATGTGTGTGTGTTTCAGGAAGACAGAATTTTTAGCATGAGTACTTGGAGCTTTCCATGACCTCTTTCAGACCCATAGTGGCCTGAAGAAAGAGATGAAGTCACTCCAGTTTCACTCCTTTTCCCCTTGGTCTGCTAGTAACTGGGCAGACAGGCAGAGAGGAAGACTGTAGTGTGGGAGAAGGGCAAAGTCTGGGAAACCCATAGCCTGAAGAAAATGCACCGAGAGGTGTCTTAGGATACCCTTGGTTCTGATCTCCTCAATCCCAGCTCCTAGTCTGTAGACTAGTTCATGGCAAGAAGGCCCTTGTTTATATCCACTCTCAGGGAGAGATTACACAGAGCATCTTTTGGAAAGGTCTCCCTTGAAAACCGCTGGTTTTTTTCAGTTGCTTGTGCTAATCAGGTGGCCTGGTCACAGCACAAAGTATGTCCAGATCAAGAGCCTTGGAGGAATGCCCTCAGAAGCATTAAGGTTCCTACTGAGAGTTGGGTGAGTTTCGAGCAGGGTGAAGGCAAGCGGGCATTCACCCAGACATGACCTGTGGGCAACCTACACTTGTACTTTTCCAGTTTGGATGCAGGGAGAAATGGGATGTGACCCAGCTGCTTGGAGAAGGCTGGTCAACCTCTGTGGTGTTGGCAGTGGCTCAAACTCCAGGCTCTGGGAGACTTGTGAATCACTGCCCAAAGTCTGGGTTTGCAGAGAGTCTGCTCTGGCGCCTCACTCACCGGGACATCTTCAAAGGCAACGTTGGTCACGTTGTTATGGGGACAACTCTGCCAAGCGTTGTTCAGACGGAAGGCCAGGGCACTGGTGTGCCGACCCTCCAAGGCCACAAACTTTCTGAAGGTGCAATTCTGGATGTTGATGGGGCCATCGTAGAACTGAATTCCTCGGATTGGAAAATTCCTGTGGAGTTAAGGAATTCAGACATTAGGCTGTGCCGCCATGTTGTTTACAATCTCTTACGGTGTCGGTAACAGGGAACTTTGGGGTGAAGCCATTCCTGACTCCCACGTTCAAGTTGTTCCCCCTACCCCAGACATTATTGATTCCTTAATTCATTCAAAAAGTACTTATGGGCACAGTAAGTGTCAACAAATGAATCTTTGCTGAATGAATGAAAGAACAAATGAGTCGGTGTCTAGTTCTGCATTAGTATTTGGGGATGGTCCTCTACTCAACTGTTTCCTCCAATTTTCCCATAACATGAAGTCATTGAATAAATACTGTTCATACTACCAGAGAGTGCCAACATCAAACCCCTTGGGAGGCAGAACTCCTAGTCATTGTTGCTTTAGTCTTAGTAGCTATAATAATTAAATCAGCTTAAGACTCACATGACTTTCTCTTGAGTAAGTCTTTTCGTTGAGAGTATGGTGGGCTTGGGAAACAGAGCAGAGGAGGGATACAAATTAGAAGATGATAAAACTGTGTTAAGAGTAATTGTGGTGGAACTTTTTGAGCAATCCTAGAAGAGAGAATAAAGAGCCTAAATGGTGCTAGTAGTTTGTGATTGGTTACTAACCAGAAATGGCTGATGCCTTGAACTCATCCAATAGCTACATGGGACAAAGACCTAGCAATCTGCCTCCATAAAGAAAACCCTACTCTGTAACATTTGGGGTCACAATGAGCCTGGGACCAACTCAACAGCAGTTAACAACATCAACAGAGAGTAGGTCTCACTGGGAAGGCAAGACTGTGGACAAGGACCTGGAGTCAGGGGAAAGGACATAGCCATGGAGAGACCCAAGAACAAGTGATGACTACAAATTTGTCTTGGGCTTAGTAGCGCAGTCTCCTCAGAGATGCTCCTCCTGTTTGTTGAGGTCTCTTGAGCAGGCATCAGAAACAAGGACCTGAGTGGGGATTGTTGGTCTTCCTGGAGGTCCCCCACAGCCCAGACTTCTCCTTCTTGGGTCTAACTCCAATTCTAGGCTTAGTGATTCTCCAAGTCCTACTTTTGTGTTCATACTAGTGCCTCTAACTCTGGGTCAGGCCCCTCTGTGTCCATAGGAGAAGTAAATTAGAAAAGGTGGAAAGAGGAAAAGGAAGCAGAAAAGGCTGTACCCCAGTTGTTTCAACCCTGGGGTCCCCTCAGATATGGCTTCTTGTATGTAGAGTTCCCTAGTCATACCATCTTTGACACTGTGCCTTCAGCGACACATTGATGTTTATCATTGATGTACACCATCACATTGGATCCTGGTATCATGGAATGGTCCATACGTTCTCCCATTTAAGGTATTTTAGGGATAGCCTATTTTGACTAGCTCTACATTGAAATCTGTGCTTACTTTACCTTCTGGCCCCAACCCAGCCCCATACAGGACTAATCGTTCTTGAGTAGAATTGCACAGCCCTCAGCTTCTTGCTCTCCAATGCAGTTTGAAGAACCTGCCTGAGACTAACAGCGTTGTCAGGTTTCCATAAACAAGCTCACCTCTGGAAGTCCTCAGAACATTCTGGGTCTGGAAGCCTGCTAATCTCCAACAAAGAACCCCTAAAAATGCAGACTCAGAGCTGCTCATAAAAACAATATGAAGGGATTGCTACATTACTTAGACTAGATAGAAGCAAGGACTTTTTAATAGCAAGTGACAAGGAGGCCACAATTCTGCCTTTGTAAAGTCTTTCAAAAGATAACTGTGTACTGGGGTTAGTGGTTTCAGGCTTGGCATGCCTTGTAGTCTAACTATAGTAGCAATAATTATATTTTCTTAGAAAAAGAGGGAAAGAAAGGGCTGATCTTAGCACCCGAAGAATTAGAACTGCCATGTTGCTCCCTGGCTCACAGCTTTGCTCTCTGGCTTGAATTCTTATCTGAGCAGAGCTACCACCGTAAGGTAGAGTTCCCTCACCATGGATCTAACTCCATGTCCCTCACTTCCTTCTTCAACTACCAGGGTATCACCCAACCTTTGTTTGAATCCCTCCAGCAAGAGAGAGTCAATGTGTCCTCAAGATAGCCCTGATATTCTGTTGTTGAACAAGTGTGAGTTCTGGAAAAATCTTTCCAACACCAAACCAAATCTATCTTTCAGGAGACACGTAGTAGAATGAATCTAGTCCTTTTCGTGTACGGCGGCCTTAAGGCTCTGTGACAGTAACTCCTTTGTGGTTTTCTCAAGTATGCTCCCATCTCCTGATTGAGAATTTCAATCTGCATGTGGCATGGCTTTGGATTTTGCCACCCTCCTGGTTTGGCCTGACTCTATCATTTACTATCTTCAGAAGTAGATGAAATGCTCCAAGTATTGTAGTCAGAGGAGAGTGGGGCCCACAATCCCTCATTCTGGATGCTGAAATCCCATCAGTGAAGCCCAGGGCCATATTTTACATTTTGATGATCATATCACCCTGTTAACTCATACTCAGCAATGGTGTTTTTCTTTTTACATTTCTCGCTTTTCATTCTAGAGCTCATCTAACTATGATTTAATCTATATTAGTTCACTAAGTTCTATGGTTAATAGATAGCAGGGAAGTCATGCTCAAGACGTAAAAATCACCACCTAGCACCTTCCTTCCATTGCCGCCACTAGGTTAAGTCAGGGAGAGCAAAGAAGTCACCGTGGTTGCAAACCTACTGGCCTATAGGGAGGGTCCTTCCGCTATGGTCCAAGCCACCTGGGCCCCAGATCCTGTTGTCCATCATCTCTGTCCCCACGTTGCCACTCTCGCCAACAAACAAGCTGTTCTTTATCTCCTGCTTGCTGCCATCATCATATGGGAAGGTTCCACCACTGTAGAGAGAAGATGGATGAGATGACATGTCCAGAGTCAACCTCCCCAAAAGGACCAAACACAATGACAGTTGCTCTTACCTGGCTAGAGTCAGGCCGATGCCATTGTCAGCAAACCTGGGGACAAGAGCAGACAGTCAGAAGGTTCTGAGGAAAGACCCGTCTCTGCCTTTGTGTTCCACTGTGGTTACTCAGTGGGGGAAGGAGTCTCTATCAACAGAGGGTTTATGAGGGAGTTGTGACTCTCCCAGTTTGTACCATAGGGGATCGTTCAGGCCCCCTCCCACTAAGTCTCTCACTCCAGAGAGAAGGTGAGTCCGGTGCTCCCGGTGTTTGACACTACACTATGTCATCCTGCACACTGGGGTCCTTTTGCCTCCTTTTCTCTGTCCACCTCTACCAACTGCCTCTCCGTTCCAGCCCTGTCATGGGAGACACACGACACATCAGAATTTAGTATGCCTTGTTGTCTTCATTTGGATCTTAGAGTCTGATGAGCCAGAGTCCCATGTCTTATGAACTGTCTGACCTTGTGTCTCTAAATGAGCTTCAGTTTGCCATCTCGAAAATGAAGACAATCATTCATATCTTTGAGGGGCACAGTAATAAATAAATAAAACCAAGCGCTTGGCACATAGTAGGTACTCACAACCATCTTCTCTCTACAGTGGTGGAACCTTCCCACATGATGATGGCAGCAAGCAGAAGATAAAGAAGGAAATAGATGCTCCTTCCTTGGGTTGGCATGAGACTTTTAAAAAACCAAGCCCAGTGACTATTCAGAGGCAAATCATGGCCCACAACACCTGGCATTGTAGGCTGAGGTCAAGATGCTGACTTTAGTGGTTCGGGTCACTGCCTGACACCATTCTATGTCTCTATCTGGGTTGGGAATCCCAGAAAACTGAATATCTGTGTGGACTGGTTCCTCTCTCCTTTCTCTCCTCACTCCATGCCCAGGGTAGGGGGGTCATTCCTCTTAGTATGAACCCCACATGCATCCAGCTTACCGGCAGCTGTCTAGCCACACGTCCCCACCCCGCAGCCAAGCCCCATGGTCCTGGTTCTTGTAGGCAGTGAAGTACTTGATGATGGCTGGCTCCCTGGGCTTCAGCGGGTCAGCGTCCTTGTGAGGGCTGTATCTGAAACACACAGTTGGAACCACACAGGTGTCAGTTTTGAGGGGGACTTGAAAACCAGCTCCCCCTTGGGCTTTGTGAACTTCTCTCTACTTAGGGTCCCTGGGAAGACACTTAGCAAAAACTAACTGGCACCACCTGACTCAGGAGTGAACTATCTGAGCTCATCCCAGAAGCAAAAGGAGTCCTTTTCTCCAGATCCAGTCCCATGCACTCTACAGACATGGTTACTGCTATCATGGAAGAGCCCACCCCAGGAGTGGTGGCAGCCCAGAGGAAAGTTCTGATAGCTAGTCCCATGTGGCCTGGGGGGATTGTCTTGATGTCTTGAGATGCTCAGCTCTCTTGCTAGTAGTGGGTAATCTTGAGTTGGTGCCTTTTCTAGGCCTCAGCTCCTTAGCCACGAAAGGAGTGATGAGCTAGATCCTCATGGATGTCTTCCATAAACAGCATCATGGCACTAGAATTCCTCACGTTTGATGGAGACCAAGCAACTGATCTCTTTTAAGGATACTGGTTTTACTAATTTCCTTGAGGTTTGCACAGAACCCGTAACCTTCAACTGAGCTCTAGAGTTATTTACAGACACTGCATGTTTCTGCCCATTTCCTTGACAGTGAAATTTCCTCCTGCTCTTTCTCTTCACCTTCTTACCCCTGCCCAACTTGTAAGGATTCTGACCATTCTTGTTGGCTTACTGGTGTTGGCATTTGCTGCAGGATCTAAAAAGCTCTGGTAGTTGGTGTTTATGAGTCGTGGAGGGCTTCCTGGATAGGATTTTCGAGGTTGTAAATCTTTACAGGAGCAGAAAGCCTCATCTTTCTCCCATGAAACAGCGGGTAGTTTTGGCCTGCTGATCTTGAGGTTAGCAGACTGACTCATAACCACCATGCTACAGAGCCCCTAGGAATGCGTTTCTCTTTGGCTGCTAGAACCTGAGTCCCACACTCTGGGAATTCAGGCTTTGCTCTGCTCAGATTATCATCATGACCCTCTCAGTAACTCGCTCATTACTGAGATGAAGAAAAATGTTCAGCAGACACTTGGTGAATGAAGGAGAGTAAGGATCTGGGCCGGCAGGTCACAATGGAGTGTATGCGTTCCTGAGGGCTGCTTACCTGGCAGAGATGATGGAGAGGAAGGGACGCTTGTCCTTGGCAGAGGCCGCGGTGGTTTTGACCCCATTGTCTATGATCATACCGGCCTGGGGAGAGGAGACACAGGGATACATTAGCTTCTTTTGCAGGCCAGAGATATCTTTTCAATCTGCCTCCTACACACTGCTGAATGCGCCAGAGAATCCAGTTCTGACTTCAGCCTGCACTGAGAGAAGCAGAGGTTCTGTGGGCTGGGAGAGACTGCCCTATTCCGCACTGCTCAGACTGAATCCAAAGTAAGTTGTGCTCTTGGAGTTTCAGGTGAAGAAAATGAGGTCTAGAGAGGTTAACTCACAAGAAACAAAACAAAAGGTAACAGGGAGAGAATGCCGCCTGCACATTCTGTTACAGCCATGTTCTCATTTTCTTTCACTTGTGGGTCAGCTCTAACTTTTCATAGTCAACATGACAACCATCACCATCCCCCTTAGCTCTGGCTAGAAGCTAAGTTGATGCTGATTCAAGAACCGCCACAGGAGGTGACCATAAAGAAGGGTCAGTGACTGGGAGGCCTTGGAAGGCTGCTCCATTTTCTTAAGAACAGCAGTTGTTCCAGGCTACAGCCAAGTGGCTGTCTTGGTGCTCATCATTCCCAGGCATGACCCCGGGGAGCCAATATGGCCAGTGAGGTGCAGTCTGGAAACTTACCCGGTAGTTGGAATGTGCTCGGTTGTTATAAAATTTCCCCAGTGGAATGTGCTCTGAGTAGCCTGGGGAGTACATCCCCACTGAGGGACCTGTTGGTACGTGGTGGAAAATGAACCAAAATCCAGTTTCCTGTTGGGGGAGGGTACAAGAGGAAAGTCACAGAGTTCAGCACCAGCTAATCAGGGTGACCAAGTAGCCCACACAAACAGGACTGTCCATTCCCAAGCACACCTCCACGTGGTCTAGGTCCACAAAGGATACAGAGAAAGGTATGAGGCAAACGTAATATATGGAGCACACCCTGACTGTCTACACTCTTGTAAGGAGGACATGTAGTCTGGCTTGATGGAGTCTGGAGTCACTGCAGGGTTTAGACTCCTCCTCCGGACACTAATGGGAAGATTTAATTGGTTCAGCTGAGTTCAGGGCTGGAAGTTCTACAGTGGTCTTGGTTTTTCCTTGTTATTTTACAGATGCAGAATCTGTGGTCCAGAGAGCACCTGACTTGCTCAGGGTTCCATGGAAGTTAAAACGCATTCATGTCTTGCCTTCCCCTTCCAGCCTGAGTGTGCTTTTGAGCATATTAACGCTCCTTGCTCTAGTTTCCTCACCAATCAGCATCTACCTCACAGGGTAGAAATAAAACTTAAATTATTTTTAGCTTAGACATATTCAATGGATTCATATTCTTGCAGTAAAATGGGTTGTTGACGTTTCCATGGTAGACTTCTTGCTCCAGTGTGAGACACTCAAGTTTGGTTTCTGTTGAATGTACCTCATGTGCAGCTATGATGCTAAAGAGGTTTCAGTGGCGCTTCCAAACTAAGACAGTCTAGAAAGAAATGTCTGCCAATCTATTTTCAGTAAATAAAAACCAATGAAAACCTTATGGATCACAACGGTCTGATCCAAAAGTGATCATGGGATGGTGTCGGATCGGGCAGTGTTTCACTGTGTTGAGCATGAGTTGCTATGAGTTGGGGTCAGGCTCAATGGCAGTGAACAATACTATATAAAGTCCTTGGGATCAATGAGCTTGTGAATGCTAAGCCAGCCTTGTGTGACCTCAGCTGGGAATCACATCCAGGGAAACTCTAGTTTTGCACCCCTCTGTATATCCATGTCAGTCCCTGGCCACAAAAACACCGTCCGTCTTGACTGTGTGGTACAGAAATTGTAGAGAATTCCCAAACACAAAGTCCGAGAGAAATGAGGATCAGCTCTATGTGCCAGGCACCATCCTAAGCTAAAACAATTGATTTGTTAATAATGATTTGTTACACATAAAGTAGTTAGTACTCAGTTAGTTACGATCATTAGTATTGTGAAGTGACAGAGCTGTCTCCTAAAACTAAGTCCATCAGACTCGTCATCTGGATGTTTTCTCCTCTTCACTATAGCTAAGCTGGACTGTGTGACTACCTTGACCTTGGGCTCCAAACCAAACACACATTTCAAAGTGAGTACAGGTGTCAGCTCTAACCATCTCCCACCCCAACCCCCCATCTCTACTTTCTGCTCACCTCAGATCCTGCAGCAGCACAGTTTATAAGGTTGTTGTTGGGATTGGCCATCCAGAAGGTGGACACAGCGCTAGGGGGAAGGGGCAAGAGATTGAATGGCATCATATAAGGGGCCACACACTTTTATTCTGCTGCCCTGGTGGACGCAAGCCATACACTTTAATGTTGGTTTAAAGAGCTGCTTTTCAGAGACTTAAGAAATCACTGATGTGTTGACCTGAAATCCTGTTTTGTTGTTGTTGTTAAAATGTGTCGCATTTAAAATATTCAGAAGTTAAAACAGGTGTGGCTCTTCCAGGTGGAAGCATTTGAGCTAGAAGCCTGAGGCTGATTCTAAAGTGAATGTAAGTAATTCCATGAGACCAGCAGAACTAGATGGTGCCCAGCTCCCACTACAAACTGCTCTGGAAGGGATCACATTAGAAGGTCCCGAACAGAATAGGAGAAAATGTGGAACAAAACTCAAAATTATATTTTAAAAAGTAAAAGACCAGGCTTCTGGTCAGACAGAGACCTTACTGGTCAGGAACCCCTAAGACTATGGCCCATAGCCACTCTTCACATCTGGAGAGGAACTCAGTCCCATGGCTCAATTTCCAGACAAACAATGTTGTTGTTGTTGTTGTGTGCCATGGAGTTGGTTCCGACTCATAGCAACCCTGTACAGGGTTTCCGAGGCTGTAAATCTTTAAGGGAGCAGAAAGCCTCATCTTTCTCATGTGGAACAGCTGGTAGTTTCGAACTGCTGACCTTGCTGTTCGCAGCCCGATTTGTAGCCACTACGCTACCACAAACAATAGACAGTCTATAAGAGAGGACACTAGGGAGGTCCACACATCTTAGAATAATCAACCATTTGAGAGCACAAGGACAGCATTTTTTTTACCCAAGGACCAAGTTCAGAAGGGTTAGGAAAGGAGGAGGAATGGAAGCAGAAAACAGTGACGAGGGATAAGTGATGTTGTGAGGATTGTAATTATGAGCTTCAAACACAATGCAGATGACCAGTTAAATGGAAAACTGATAGACTCTGCAAAACTTCTCCCAGTTCTCAATACAAAGTTAAAATGAATAAGTAAATGAAATGAGAAAGTCCATCCAAAGAGCTCAGGAAAGGAGCTCGAGGCTGGCTGCACAGGAAGTACTCTCTCACCTGTCTCTCATGTATGGACATGGATCCTGTGGGGGGAGCCTGTGCGCTCAGACTATGGCAGCTGAGGCAGCCACTTCCTTTCATCAAAGGAGCACTGTGTGGCAGTGGGCAAAGCCCCACGCATGCACGGGAGCTGAGGTTCTCCATGGACAAGAACAATGTGCGGGAGAAAGACAGAGAAGGGAGAAGACACAGCCTGCCTTCTCTCTAAGTGGACTGTGAGGTCAAAGCGCTTGAAAAGTCCTGAGTGTGGAAAGATGGTTCACATGGGCTCTTCCGGGCACAGACCTAGAGTTGACCCAGGGGCACAGAGGGGAGAGGAGGTGCTTACTTGCAGTCCTGCCTGGGCTTGGGGATGTATCCTGGGTAGGAGTCTTCTGTGATCATTTTGCACATCTTGCTGTCGCGGTCAGAGGGCAGGAGGGTACCAGATTTCACAAGGAGACCGAGACAGTGGTCAAAGGTGTTGCGTTCCTCTGGCCCGTCTTCCGTGAAGAAGCAGTGGCCCAAAGAGTTATAGCCCACAACGTCCTTGATCTGCAAGGGTCAAGACAAGGGGACGCTTCATCCAGGATCCAATTATCCATTGTGCATTCACTCACTCCAGGAGCCCTAATAGTGCAGAGGTTAAGCACTCAGCGGCTAACTGAAAGGTCAGAAGTTGGAACCCATCAGCCACTCTGAGGAAGGAGGTGGCAGTCGGCTTCTGCAAAGATGGTTGTTGTTGTTAAGTGCTGTCGAGCTGGTTCTGACTCATAGTGACCCTGTATAGGGTTTTCGCAGAGTGCCTGGTGAGCTTGAACCACCAACCTTGCGGTTCAAACGACCTTGCTGTCCAGTGCATTAACCCACAGCACCACACAGCCTTGCAATCCTTATGGGACAGCTGGTTTTACTCTGTCCTATAGGTTTGTGGTTCAAACTCATCAGCTGTTCCTTGGGAATCCTATACACGATTGCTATGAGTCAGAACTGACTTGATGGCACTTAACAACAACAACATCGCATCGTTGTGAGTTGAAATTGACACACAATGGGTTTATTCATTCATTCAACAAAGTAACTCAAGAGTACCAGCTATACATACACCAGGCCCTGGATCGAGCACCGGGGGTTTGGAGATGAATATGTCATATGTGTTGGGGCTGGGAAGCTGAGCAGGGGGATGGGATGGTGACTTTTATTTTTTTAGTTGTGGTAAACATATACAAGGAGACTTCAAACAGTCCATGGAAAAATTCCATTTTCTTTTAATTCTATGTTTCCACAAACTTTTCGAAGCCCCCTCATACATAAAATATTTGCCAATTCGGCGGTTTTTACATGTTGTTGTTAAGTGCTGTTGAGTCAGTTCTGACTCATCGGGACCCTGTATAGGGTTTCTGAGGAGCAGCTGGTGAGTTTGAACCGCCAATCTTGCAGTTGAAGCTGACGTTGCAGTTGAGTGCTTATCCTACAGCACCACACTGGGACTCCATGTAGAATTCAGTAATGAATTACATTCTTCACATTGTACAACTGTTAACATTATACTTTTCTGATTATTCTCCTACCACCAGTATGCAATAACTCCTCTTTTCCTCTTCCCTCCCACCCTCTGTAAGTACTAATAAGTAAGTACTAGATATTTTATATATGTGAGATCACACATTATTTCCCCTTTTGTGTCAGATGTTTTCAAGGTTCGTCCATGGGGTGGCATATATCAGGACTCCATGACTCTTTATGGCGAAGTAAAATTCTGTTGTGTGTAGGTACCACATTTTGTTGATCTTTTCATCTACTAATGGGCTTTTAGCTTGTCTTTGCCTTTAGGCTATTGGGAGAAAGGCTGCAATGAACAATGGTGTGTACATTTCTGTTTGTGTATCTGCTTTCAATTCTTTTGGGGACAAACTGTGGATTGGGATTAGACGAAATAGCAAGTGTATGTTTAACTATGTGAGGAATCACTAGACTGTTTCCACAGTGGGTGTACTGGTTTACACGTCTTCCAACAGTGGATGATGTTCCAATTCTTCCATCCACCTCCTCACCAACATCTGTTATTTTCTGTTTTTTTTTTTTGTTTTTTTTTTTATCACAGTCATTCTAGTAGGGGGTGAAGTGTTATCTAATTGCAGTTTTGATTTGCATCTCCCCAATGACTAATGTCCTTGTGTGGCGCTGTGGGTTAATGCACCAGACTGCAAAGCCATTTGTACTGCAAGGTTGGTTGTTCAAGCTCACCAGTTGCTCCTCGGAAACCCTATACAGGGTCGCTATGGGTCAGAGTCGACTCGACGACACTTAATAACAACAACAATAGCTAATGTTCTTGTGTGGCGCTGTGGGTTAATGCGCTGGACTACAAAGTTTGTTTGAGCTGCAAGGTTGGTGGTTCAAGCTCACCAGTCGCTCCTCAGAAATACTATACAAGGTTGCTATGGGTTGGAACTGACTTGACGGCACTTTAACAACAACAACAACAACACTAATGTTGAGTCCTGGTGTGGTGCTGTGGGTTAATGTGCCGGACTGCAAAGTCACTTTGAATCGTAAGGTCAGCGATTCAAGCTCACCAGTTGCTCCTCAGAAACTCTATACAGGGTCTCTATGGGTTGGAACTGACTTGACTGCACTTCACAACAACAACAACAATGACTAATGTGCTGTAGGATAAGCACTGGCCTGGTCAGCAGTTCAAACCTATCAGATGCTCTTGGAAACCCTGTACAGCAGTCTCTATGAGTTGGAACCAATTCAACAGCACACACACAAAAATCAATGACTAACGAGGAACCCTGGGGGAAGAGTGGATTAAGCATTGAGCTGCTAATTGCAAAGCCGGTGGTTCAAGCCCACCAGCTTCTCTGTGGGAGAAAGATGAGGCTGTCTGCTTCCATAAAGATTTATAGTCTCGGCAATCCTACAGAGGGTTGCTATGAAGTCCTGGCGTGGTGCTCTAGAATGAGCACTGGACTGCTCACTGTAAGGTCAGCGGTTCAAACCTACCAGCTACTCCTAGAAAAGCTATACAGGGTCACTGTGAGTCAGAACCGACTCTACGGCACACTGTAACAACAATAGGGTTGCCGTGAGTCAGAACTGACTCAACAACAGTGGATTTGACGTGAATTTATGATTCATGGCTCGGACTGTATTTTCATGTCTTTGCTGGCCATTTGGATATCCTCTCTGGTGCAATGTCTACACAAATCTTGTGCTCATTATTTGTTTTTTAAATTGAGTTGCTTGTTTTGTTGTTAAGTTATAGGAATTCTTTATGGATAGTAAACCTTATCAGATATATGGTAGTGGTGGTTTTGTGCTGTGGATTCAGTTCTGACTCATACCGACCCTGTTCCGAGGAGCAGTTGGTTGGTTTGAACTGCCAACCTTGTAGTTCACAGTCCAGTGTTGATCCTACAGCACTACACTAGGAGTCCAATTTTCTGGAGTGGGAGTGGACAAAATCACCCCTTTTTGAGAAGCACTGGTTCTATGGTTGTTGTTAAATACCATCAAGTCAGTTCTGACTCACAGTGACCCTGTATAGGGTTCCCAAGGAGCAGCTGGTAGATTTGAACCACCGACCTTGAGGTTAACAGTCTAGTACTTATCCTACAGCTCCACACCAGTATTCCTGAAATAAAGACACTGCTGTGATTTGAACCCAGGATCTCTTGTTTACTAGACAGATGTTTTAACCAACTAAGCCAAGACTCCAACATTCATTCTATAATTGTTGTAGTAGTTGTTGTTGTTGTTAAGTGCCGTCGAGTCGGTTCCGACCCATAGAGACCCTGTACAGGGTTTTCGAGGGTGTAAATCTTTACGGGAGTAGAAAGCCTGATCTTTCTCCCACAGAGCAGCTGGTAGTTTCGAACCGCTGACCTTAAGGTTTGCAGCCCAATTCGTAACCACTACGCTACCAGAGCTCCTTTTTTAGTAGTAGTTTTTGCTAAATGCCACTGAGTCAGTTCCAACTCATAGTGATATTGTATCAGGTTTCTAAGGAGCAGCTGGTGGGTTTGAGCCAATGACCTCGTGGTTCAAATCAACCTTGTGGTTCAGTGATTATCCCACAGCCCCACACCTGGGCTCCGATTCTAGGGTGGTGGTGTTGTTAAGCGCCATCCAGTCAGTTCCGACTCATAACAACTTTGGATAGGGCTTCCGAGGAGTGGCTGGTTGGCTTTGACCTTGTGTTTATTGTACAGCACCACATTTCCTCCCAAGTCTTTCATAAGACAGAGCTGGATTATTCTCCAACATGCAGGCTGTCTTCTTTGGGAAGCATTCGGAAAAATGTCCAAGCATTGGGCTGGCGCTTACACCTTTTAACTGTGCTTAAATATCACAGAACCTTTTAATAAAATAGTTTTTTTCTTTAAGAGATGAGAAAATGAATGCTCAGAGACGTCAAGTGATTTGCCCAAGGTCACTCACCCATGCATACAAAACCAGGGTTGCAACCTCAAATTCCTAGCTGTGCCCATTCACTCTGGAAGTGTTCCTGTTCCAGGAAAGCTCTTTGTTCTTGTGAACAGCGGCCCTCCTTCAAACGCTGGTAACAGTCTGGGGCGTTATCCTGACTCCTATTCAGATGCTCAATAAGCAGTTCACTCAATACCGAGGTCATTTGATGGGTCTGCCTCTCTTTCTACTCCTGAGCCATGAAAGTTTGCTATAAATAGCCTGGAAAGACCAGCTTGGGAGGAAAAAGCAAGGAAGGCAGACTGCTGTGCTGGCAGGCATGTCAGAAATCCAGTCCACGGCCTTCACTTTACAGAAGAAGACACTGATGTCCGCAGAAGAGACATCATCGACTTTGCAGGGGGCCTTGTGCTCACCCAGGTCTCCTGCCTCCAACCACAGCTCATTTTCAATCTTATGTAGTCACTTGCCCACTGTCTGGACCACATTTTGGGTGGCCCTTCTTTGAACAGAAATGAATAAGGAACAAAAAAGTAAAACAAAACAAAAAACCAGTTGACCTCCAACTGATTCAGACTCAGGGTGAGCTCCCACGTGTCAGAGTAGAACTGGCCTCCGCAGGGGTTTCAGCGCCTGAGTTCTTGGAGGTAGACTTCCAGGATCTTTTTGCAGGGCACTTCTGGACGGAACCTCCTTTAACTTAGTTACTAACCACCATTAGCCATTTGTGCTATCCAGAGACTCCAAATAATGACTTAGGTACATTCCTATTCTAACAAAATACCAAAGAGATTCCTTCTCGAGACCGTTGAGTCGGACTGTCAACCTTACGGTTAGCAGCCCAATGCCCACCTCACAGCACCACCAGGGCTCCTGAGATGTGTTGCTATTGTTAAGTGCTGTCAAGTTGGTTCTGACTCATAGAAACCCTGAGTAGGGTTTCTGAGGAGTCACTGGTGGGTGTGAACTGCCAACCTTGTGGTTAGCAGTCCAGTGCTTATCCTACAGTGCCACACCAGGACTTCATGAGATGTCCTACAGAGATGTCCACTGAGAGGACGAAAAGAACTACTGTGGATACAGTGTCAAAGGGTTTGCACATCATCTCATTTAATCTTTTATCATGACAGTTTTTCCCTTTTCACAGATGACACGGAGATGTAGAAACATTCCTAAGGTCACTGCTTTGCAGGGACAGAATAGGGACATGATTTCTGATCTGTTTGATTCCATCACTTGAGTGCTAATCAATACTCAGCACTGCCATGGAGAAGGGCAGGGGTAGGAGGAGTTTCACCTTGGATTGTGTTTCTTTCTTCTGATTAGAAGTGGGGCGGGTTGAAAGGGAAGCAGTATGAGGGAGAAGGAAGCATTGAGCAGGGAATAGAAAGAAAATACAAATTCAAATCTTAGTTCCACCGTATACTTGTCCCCAGTGCCACTAGTGACATCTAAAGTCTTCTACAATTGTTCCTTGTCAAAACATTTCCAAGGATTAAATATTGAAACTGTGGCACAACTTTAGATAAACAGTTAGACAGATAGATGGATAGACAGACAAACAGATGAATAGATAGATAGATAGATAAATGGACAGATAGAGAGAGGCAGATAGATGGATAGACAGATAAATGGATAGATATAGATAGATGATAGATAGATAGATAGATAGATAGATAGATAGATAGATAGATAGATGGATAGATAGACGGACAGACAGATAGATGGACACATAGACAAGTGGATGGATGAACAGACAGACAGATAGATACATAGATGGATGGATAGATAGATTGATAGACAAATGAATGGATAGACAGATGGACGGATAGATAGATAGATAGATAGATAGATAGATACATAGATAGATACATAGATAGATACATAGATGGATGGATGCATAGATAGATACAGATAGATAGATCAGTAGATAGATAGATAAATAGCTGGATAGCAGATGGATAAACAGACACATACATGTATAGACTTGCAGGTGGCCTTTGAGTCCCTCTGCATGCTACTCAGAATACTGTGTCATTCTCTGCACAAATTATGTTTCCCCTCTCTTCTTCCAGATACCTTCTGTTAATGGTTGGAAGTCATAAATGCAATCTCTGAAAGTTATTTTAAATCTTTAACTGCTGTTAGGTGGAGTGTAGGCATGCAGTGATGAGGCAGAAAATTCCTCTGCTCTGCTCAATGCCTGAAAACCCACAGCTGCCAATGGGTCAGTTAGGGTAATCATTTAGTTCATTGTGCATACCAGGGCACTTTTGAGAGTGAAAGGGACACTATTAATAATCATGTAGGAACAACAGGTATAAAATGGACTGTTCTGGGAAACCCAAGGTGTATAATCACCCCGCTTGTAATGATTTCTATCATTAACCTGTATAAAGCAAGAAAAGGAAATTGCTAAGGATGGTTCAACCCCATGATGGCTCTGGAATAAGTGTCTAGATCCAAACGCACTAGCTGACTCTAGGCCTGGCCCTGGACTGGTTGGCATGGAGGAGAGGGAAGGAGGGGATGAGGAGTCTTAGAGCCTTTGCTTCCTTGGAGGGAAGTGCTTACCAATAGGCCATTGGAGCCATGGACGGTCACACAGCGCGAGAACGTGTGGTGGATGGAGAGCTCTCTCACGTATGTAGGTGGGTCATAGCCTCCCTTTTCATCCACATCACCCACCAGGTGGAAATGAATCGGGTACTGACCCACCAGCTGCTGCCCCATGTGCTTCAGCTCCACGCCCTCCAGGTGCGCCGCCTTAAACCCCAGTGCAAACTGGGAGAGGAGAAACAAGAGTCAGGAGTCCGCAAGATGCTTCACTTTCCAAAATGGCAGAAATGGCATCTTCAAGATGCTTCATTGGTACTCACCCCGGGTCTTCAGTGAATCAGTGATGTTCTCTATGTGCATGTGGCTTAAGTTAGGTACCCAACCCTCCTTACACCAAGGGAGGCAAGTTAGGTGCTTGCTAATGACAAAAGGAAGTCACAGGCAGTAATTTTTGGCATTGAGAGGTCTGAAAGACCCGTGCAATGCTGATGTTTGCTTCGACACTCCCTTCCTGCTTTCTAAAACATAGTATCTTATGAGGAAGGGTTAACTCTGAGCTAAGCTGGGAGGAATCTGGTAAAAAGGATGCCTTAGAAGGGTTGAGGGGGGCAGATTAGTGTGGACCACTCGGCAACAAGAGCGATTGTTCACAATCTGAGGTTGTGAACATCAGAGACTGAGCCCAGACAGAGACTGTGAAACCATGCACAATGGCAGTGGGCTTGTGGAGTGGTGGGGTGGGGCTGTGCTGAGTGAGCACCCAAAAATATTCTTGCCACAGCACACCTAGAATCGTCCCTAGCTTGCTTAAGGAAACCACTTGTCAACACAGAATATATATCTGCGCTCTGGGAACTCACCATACAAGCACAGTCTGAAAAAGATTCTCAAGACTCTGGCTCAGTCAACTTCTTGGAAGTTGGGCTTAGGGACATGCTACCCATTCTTTCCAGAACAAGGAATCAACTAAAATGCCTAGCACCAATGGTGGCTGCTCTAGAGAAATATGTGAGAATGATTCTGAGGCCTTGCTTGGGATCAGTGAAAGAGAGTGTTGTGATCATGCAGGAATTACTTTCAAGGGTTGGAAAGGTGTACCAGTAGCGTGTACACCACATACCTGCAACTGTTGCTGGTCTCTCTAACCAGGTCCCCACCTACCTCTCAGGAAATGACAGGAAGCATATACAAGTGTTTGGGGTGGTTACAATAACTGGGGAAGATTACCAGAGTGCAATGAGCAGGGACCAAGGATGCTAAAAGTCCCGTAATATAAGAATGAGCTCACCTGAAATACCAGCCGGACTCCTATCGTGAAACTCTGTCAGTTTGACTCTATCAGTCTCTTTAGTTAAATTACCACACGATCTTTGTTTTGAGAGAACTGTCTTTCCACAACTGCAACATTGTATTATGTTATCATTGAAACAATGGCCTTAGGAAGAACTGTGGGGTGTCTGGTGTGACACTGTGGGAGAAAGGCCGGGACTGCAAGGTCAGTTTGAACCATAAGGCTGGTGGTTCAAACTCAACAGCTGCTCCTTGGAAACCAAATACAGGGTTGTTGTGAGTCAGAACTGACTCAACAGCACTTAACAACAATATGTGCTGTTCAAGATGCCAGATAGAGACAGTTTTTATAGAAAGATGCAAAAGAAGTTCCTCTTTGAGCTTAAGACTAGGGAAACTTGGGCCCTTGATAAACTAGTACCATTGTTCTTAATTTGTCGTTAGGTGTCATCGAGTCGGTACCAACTCATAGCGACCCTATGCACAACGTAACGAAACACTGCCCGGTCCTGAGCCAACCTCACAATCGTTGCTATACTTGAGCCCATTGATGCTGCCACTTTGCCAATCCATCTTGCTGGGGGTCTTCCTCTTTTTCTCTGACCCTCCACCTTACCAAACATGATATCCTTCTCCTGCGACTGGTTCCCCCTGACAATATGTCCGATGTATGAGAGACGAAGTCCGGTCATCCTGTTCTTGATTACATAGTAAGAACTCTAGACCTTATTATGTCTCTGTCTATATGGAAACTCACAGGTAAATGGAATCCTAGAACTTCTAGTTCCTCTCCCCTGTTCGCCATCTAATCTTTATCTTAATGGATCAATTGAAAAGATGACTTTTTGTGAGTTAAATGCTTGTATTTCTAGGAAGGGATCAAGGCTCACTAATGAATTAAGAGAGTGGAAGAAATGGTTGGGGTTGAAGGCACAATGTGATGTGGCCTGGGAGTGGAGAGCCGTTCCCAAGTTGGTTCTAACATGTCCCTTGTCCCCAAGTATTGACAAGTGGATCCACATGCCAATGCCTGGACATCTTTCTTCCCCAGCTCCCAGAAGTTGCTTTTTTCTTGGTAAAAAGTCCCACCTCCTTCATCCCCACGGCATTCCAACCAGGAACCCCACCCATAGACAGACATTGAGGGCATTTTCCTGACTGGGCTGGAGCCAGGGCAATCACTACCCTCATGATGGTTGGCAACCTGAGCCAGGAAGACCCATACCTTGATGTGACCCCCAAAGGTATCAAAGTCAAAGAAATCGCAGATGTGATTGCTGTAGGGGTAACATTCATCCTCCATTTCTCCCATCACCACAATGTTCCGGGTCAGGAGCCCGACCTCAGCCCGCATGTCCACACCATCAATTTCTTCTCCGATGTGCATGTACATTGGTTTCCCTAGGATAGAATAGAGGGAAGGTGGGGAACAACAGGAACTGTGAGCACACAGGGAGTCCTTGGATAGTGCAGGGGGTTAACGAGTTCAATTACATTTGAGTCCACATGGAGGTGCCTCGGAAGAAAGGCCTGGCAAACTACTTCTGAAAAATCAGCCACTGAAAACCCTCCGGAGACAGCGCTACTCAAACTCACCCGGGGTCGACTTGATGGTAACTCGTTCTGTTTCGTTCTGTATGTGTGCCCACTGTTTCCATGCCTCCTTCCAGAGGCTTTAACAAACACTGCAGATTCATCACCATGCCCTGTGCTCCATGATGTTGTGAAGTGCTGTTAAGTCGGTTCTGAGCCATGTTGTTGTTGTTGTCAGGTGCCATTGAGTCGGAACCGACTCATAGCGACCCCATGCACAGCAGAACGAAACAATGTCTGATCCTGGGCCAACCACACTACCGCTGCCACACTTGAGTCCATCAATGATGCCACTTGGCCGATCCATCTCGTTGGGGGTCTTCATCTCTTTCTCTGACCCTCCATCTTACCCAGCATGACATCCTTCTCCAGCGACTGTTCGCTTCTGACAATATGTCCAAAGTATGAGAGACGAAGCTTAGCCATCCTGGCCTCCAAGGAGCACTCTGGCTGCACTTCTTCCAAAACAGATCTGTTGGTTCTTTTGGCAGTCCATGGCACTTTCAGTATTCTCCTTCAACACCACAACTCAAAGGAATAGCAACCCTGTATAGGATTTCCGAGGAGCAGCTGGTGGAGTTGAACTGCTGACCTTGTGGTTTGCAGTCCAGTGCTGATCCTACAGTGCCGCACCAGGACTCCCACTTTATAGAATAATAAAGCCCAGAGACTTCATTCATTTAAAATTTAAAATCATCTGTCTGAAGATAAAGCCAGGATTCACCGTCATGTATGTCTATGTCTGAAACCCATGGCAGAAACTGCTAATTGTCCTCCACAGTCCTCCTCTCTCTATACTGTTGTTGTTGTTGTTAAGTGCAGTCGAGTCGGTTCCAACACATAGAAACCCTCTATAGGTTTCTGAGGAGCGGCTGGTGAGTTTGAACTGCTGACCTTACAGTTCAAACTGACCTTGAGGTCCAGTGCTTACCCTCCACACCAGGACTCCACAGCACCACACAGGAACTCCCTCTCCATAGGAGAATCTCCTAAGTTCGCCTGCGCATCTCTCCAGGGGAACTACATTTCCCAGCCTCCCCTGCAGTAAGGTGGACTCATAGGATGTGAACACAAGTGCTCTGGACAGCCTCCAGGTGATATGTCCCTCCTCTTGCTCTCTCCTGGAGGCTGGAATGTGGACCTGTTTTGGTGGGCTGGCCTTACCTATGAGGTGAAAGCCATGTAGAGATGGCAGAGCAAAGGAGAGAAGAGATCTGGCCTCAGGGAGATCTCACAGAGTTTGAACCCAGAATCCTCTACCAGCTAGGACTCTTCACAGGGACAAAACAAAGTCACTGGTTTGGAGCAGTGTAAATCCTTATTTTTTTAGGCAAGCAAATCCGTATTGTGCTTTCTTCAGCTTCAGGTAGAGTGTGTATCTGGAGCCTGGTGTTCTAGAAAGAGCCAGATGGGAGCTTTGGTGGCCAGCACTGTGGCTGGGCTCTGGGTGTTTCAATGGTGCCCAATGGAAGAGCAGGAAGGGCCAGCACTCCACGTTGTACTGACCTCAGCATCATTTTCCATTCTCCCTAGAGCTAGATGAGCGGAAGATCTCTCCCTTTGTGCCACAGACTATTTCCCTAAAACCCTAAAACACCTAACCAAGGGTTAGTCCATTGTGACTCAGGACGACCCCATGGCTGTCAGAGTAGAACTGAGCTCCGGAGCGCTTTCAATGGCTGCTGCTTTTACAAGTAGATCTCCAGGTCTTTCTTCCATGATGGCTCTGGTGGATTTGAACTTCCAACCTTTGGTAAGCAGTTGAGTGCTTAACTGTTTGAACCATCTAGAGACTCTTCCACGCCCCTTACCCTTTTTCATATTCTTAAGAAGAGTTCAATTCTTCCAGCAATTTCATTTCTTTCCCCATTTGGGCTCTTTGTGTTCTGTTTTCAAAGTTTTCTAGGCTTTCTCACCCTAAAATTGCTAACAAACACAAAGGAGAAAAGGGTGAAAAGACCAATTCTACAACCGTGTTCCTGTGGTAGCCAGAGCTTCTGACTTTACCTCCTTTTTTTCCTCTCCACTCTCCCCTTTCTCACCTCCTCCCTTCACATAGAGTAGTTAACTCCACTCAGTGGATAGCTAAACCCACTGCTGTGTTCACGCTTCTAGTTTCCCCTTCCTCAATCTGTGCAGAAAAATATACTTTAAAACAAATACAGGGTGGCAAGAATTCAAATTTTGGCATTGTCTTTGATTTGCAGGCCTAAATTCTGCCTCGACAACAACCCCAAATTCTTTTCTGGGATAGAGAGCTTAGCCTGGTTCTAAATTCATCTCATTCCCTAGACTGCTGAGCTGGCAGGTAGGTGCTTTTTCTTCCATCTGAGGATGCAAGTACAGCGAGAAACAGTCTCCGAGTGAACCACACTGCCGCCACCACTTGGCTTTCACATTTGACCTTGACTTGAGCAACGAGCCCAAACCTCATCCCAGAGCGCCGCCAGTGCCCACAGACAAAGCCTGCAGTTATAAGTAGCCCTCCAGTGTCACACAACAACAGTGACCTTACCCTGACCTCTTATCCCCAGGAAGAGCTGGCTCCCCACCAGTCACCTGGCACACATCCTGAGTCTACAGTATTCCTAAGGATGTTTACTGTTTGGGATTCTGCAGACTTAATGAGATGGTGGTTTCTTTGAAAAATCTTAGCTCAAGATATCCACTCCTCCCCACACCCCATTCTGTCAGTTGTCAGACTGTAGTGACTTGTGTGTTGTTGTGATGCCGGGATCTAAGTCATCAGTATTTCAAATACCAGCACAGTCACCCATGATGAGTACATTTCAGCAGAGCTTCCAGACTAAGACAGACTAGGAAGAAAAGCCGAGCAATCTGCTTCTAAACATGGCTGCTGTTAAGTGCCGTTAGTCAGTTCTGATGCATAGTGAGCCTGCATAGCATTTACGAGGAGCAGCTGGTGAGTTGGAACCACCGGCCTGTGGATCAAACCAACCTTACAATAGAGTGTTTATCCTACAGTGGCACACTCTATGGATCACAACAGAATACTGCTCAACTCATTTGCTTTGGACACACTAAGAGGATAGTGCGTTAAGAGGTAACACACAAAGGCAGAAGGAGCATGCCATGCTTGGTGAAGTAGAGAACCAGTGAGGGCATGAGATGGTTGACGCCATAGCTGCAAACTCAGACTCGAACATGCCAGCGACCATGAGCATGATGCAGGTCTGGGCAATGTTGTGTTCTCTTGCACAGAAGGTCAGGTGACACGAGTCAGAATTGACTGGTGGCTGCTAATATAACAATTCAAGATGCAAAACTAGAGTGTGGCAAAGCTGAGAAAATGTCTTCTTCGGAGTCTGTGTTAGTTTTCAGTGGCTGCTATAATAAGCTACCACATAGCCAGTGGCTTGAAACAATACAGACACACCTCAGAGATACTGTGGGTTTGGAGCACTGTAACAAAGTCACTATCACAGTAAAGAGAACCACACAATATTGTGGCTTCCATTGCATATCAAAGTTATATTTACACTCTACTGTGGTTTATTAAGTGTGCAGCAGTATTATGAAAATATTTTAAATATTGTGAGAATTACCAAAAGGTGACACAGAGATCCAGTGTAGGAACAAGCTGTTGGAAAAACAAAGCCAGCAGGAATGTTTGATGCAGGGTTGCCACAAATCTTCAATTTGTAAAAAATGCACTATCTGGAAAGTGCAATCAAATGGGGCATGCCTGCGTAGATTCCGTGGTTATGCATTGGGCTGCTGACCAAAACGTCAGGAGTTTGAATCGACCAGCTGCTCTGTGGGAGAAAAATGAGGCTTTTTGCTCCTGTCAAGATTTACAGCCTCAGAAATCCTCTCTGAGTTGGAACTGACTTGACGGCACATCACCACCACCACAGTTGTGGGACTCAGGAGTCTAAAATCAGATTTGCTGAGCTCAAGTCCACATGTCCACAATGCTGGTTCCTTCTGGGGGCTCGATGGGGATGGGGGTGGGGGGTGGTCCTAAATTAGACCATAGATGGAGTCCCTGAGCACACAAGGTCCCTGTACCTCAGGCTTTTCCTCTATAAAATGGGAAGAATAGCACTGATTATAATACTCCACTGCCTACCAAAAGGTTGATGGTTTGAACTCACCAGCTGCTCCATGAGAGAAAATGTGGCAGTCAGCTTCTGCAAAGATTTCCAGCCTTGGAAATCCTATGGGGGCTGTTGTACGCTGTCATATTAGATAGCTCTGAGTAGGAATCAGCTCGCCAGCAATGGGTTTTAACAAGGTAGCTCTGAAGTTAAGTGAGTTCTTCCAATGCTGTGTGTAGAACAGCATCTGGCACGTAACAGCACATAGTAGGTGTTCGTGTAACTGACCTGACTCCTACAGTTGTCACTGACATTGTCTTCAAACTGAAGCTGGATTCAGGGCTGTAAACATTAGCTTCATGGACGCAATGTTGGGAGTTGGTAGAAAACAGGCTTGGAAGCTTTCTTTGTTCCGTGAGTGCAGCTGGCCAAGGTGCTGGGGAGACTACCAGGTAAGTGGAAGAACTGTGTTTATCGGACTTCTGGGAGCGGAGTACATAAAAGTCCAAGAACGATTCCCCCACCCTGAAACCCTATCAGGGCCTTTACAGAAAACCACACCAGCACTGGTCAGCTTATCTGGCCTGTGGCTACATTCACAGGCTACTCCCAGACTGCTATCCTAGGGAAGCCCAGAGCTCCTGATTTCCCAACATCCCATCCTGTCTGTGGAGTTCTGTTGGCCTCCACCCTCCCTCCCTTCCTTCTCTAGTGATGATACGTGAAGGGCATTCAGGGAGAAGAACA